TTTTTTTTTTTTTAAATGGAGCTTGAGCACCATTAATTAGGTTTTACTTTTAAATGGGCAAGCGAGATTTTCCACAAATAGTGTTGTATAAATTTGAATCGAAGGTTGTCGGTGTCCCAGGCCTGATGTCCAAATGGTGAAGCAGTGAGGAAAATGGTGGGTGAGATTTTGGTGGTTGGTTTTGGTTTGATGGTGGTGGTTGATTTTGCCAAGATCCATTTCTGGTGGGGTGAAAGGTGTAGCGACCGTGGTGGCTGTCCCAAACGGGGAGAATTAAAGTCTACAAAAATTGAATAAGTTAGGGATCGCTGTTGCAATTTTCCCTTAATTCTATGATCAAATTACTTTCTTAAGTTCCTTAAATTCAATAATACACGATCTAGATATTGTTCTATGCCTTGCCACTTTTTTAAGAAGTGAATATTTGGTCAACCATCGAAATAATGAGAATATAATGCAAAAGTTTGACCAGTTTGGGGCATAGTGAGCTAAAGAGAAAATGAAGCAACTTCTTTTTATCATGTAATATCGTCGTACTTTTCGTCATTATGTCCCTCGTTTTATATTTAAATATTTTATGATCACTCATAGTCATCGTCATCCATCTAAAAAACCTAAGGTCCAAAGACTAGAATTGAAATTGATCTTGTTTCTGGAATTGAATCAATAAATTTATAATGATCATTTTTTGATAATCTAGTCAAATACAACATGTAAAGTAGGTTAAATTGAATACAATGATTTCCTATTTGATACCATGGACTACACAATAAAGTCGATAAGTTTAATTTTGCCATTTTAGTAATGCAAATCAGTTATTTTTCATTTTATAAAAATGTAAAATAGCATAACCAAAATAGATTATTAGAAAATAAAAGTGAAAATTGTAGCAATGATCCCAAGCCTTGATTTTTTCACAGATTTTATCTAAATATTTCATTTATACCATCCACGTTCCCAACCCTTTCAAAACTTCGCACATGAAATCCAAATGGATGGAAACCATTAGTTGACAAAAATTGTGGGCTTTAACATTTTTTGACGAATATTTAAAAGGGTAAAATGATAAATTTATATATTTCACTAAAAATAAAATTATAATAATTAAATTAAAAATTGAAAGTCAAAATCAAAACCCATCTCCTTTTTCCCAAACCCCGTTCAACCACTTACCTCGTACCCCAAAACCAATGCAAGCAAGAACTTTCCCACTTTTTTTTTGTTTTTTAACGTAGGAACCGGCAACTGCTATCCGTTAGCGAAGGCCCGACCACCCCGAAGGGGCGGAGGCTCGATCACTATGGGGCGCACTAGATAAATCTCACTCCATGTACAATAACCCGTAAACCACACATGAGAGGTAAATCGCACCGGGGATGAGCTCGACCGAGGAAGTGTCGGCAGTGAATTCGAACTCATGACCTTTGGTCTTCGTGTTTACCTGTTCCACCAACTCGACCACCACTGAAAGGGTAACTTTCCCACTTTTATGTGTACATAAATATGTAACCCCAAATTCGCCACTATTTATGCCAGATGGTACTTTCTTCATTTGTGCCGCTATGAACTCCAGAGTCGCCAAAGCCAATGGTACACTACTCATATTGTTTTCTATGACAACCAACCCAATTCCGCCATCGATCATGGACTGGAGGCAAAGGTTTTGAATTCTCTACCACTGCTTGCTTATTCCTTTGAGACTCATCCGGAGGTGCTAGAATTCGTCGTGTGATTTTCGGAGTTTGAAAAGAATGAGACTAGTTGGTTTTACCTAAACATAGTCACTCTTTTTCATGAAGAGTGCATTGTTCTACTTGCCCCCTTTGCGATCGCAGCGTCGATATGTGATTTTTAGTTTTTCTTGACAAATTTAGAATTTTTGCCTATGGGATTGAAGAGATTTGACGAATGAAGACGATTTCGGTGCAATGGATTGGTAGTGGTGGCGGCAAAGGTGGTGGCTTGATGGTGGGTTTGGGTTCATGAATGACATAAATGAAAGATTTGGTAAAAAATATTAAAAATACAAAGGTTTGGGGATCGCTGCTGAAATTTTCCCAAAATGTAGAGAACACGCGTTACCATTTCACTGGCTAGTTAAAATTTCCAATTCTACAAGGAAAACACTGAATCACAGCCCAAAATATTTTCCGCTGAAAAAGACCTTAAAGCGAACCGCCGAAGACTCCACCAACTGTTAATTAACAGCCCAAATACAAGAAACAGAAAACCAGGAAAACGAAAAGAAAAAAGGTCTTCATCCCTCTTTCGATTCTTGAAGCGAACCCAGAAAAAGAACAAAAATTTACCAACTGGGATGAATTTTACTTTAATGTGAGAGAGTGAAAAGAGTGTTCGAGTTTTTCTTGATCGATTAAGTTAGTCTGGGAACATGGCGGGTTTTGGTGGGGTTGAAGAGAATAATTATGTGTTGTTGCAGGATCTTAAAGTGGAATTAAGAAAAGATGGTGAAGAAGAAGCAAATGGGTGTTTCACTCTCTGTTTCTGGATTTACATTCATAACTGTGCTTCTTTTCCCTCTGTAATTCTTCAACAGGTTTCATAACTTCCCTTAACTGACTTTTCATTTGTTTTTTCTAATGCTGCTGTAAAAATGTTTTTGTTTAGAGAGCATTGACATCTATTTTTACCTAGGGTCATTGAAGTGGTGACTTAGCGCTGATGATGGTTTGTTGTACATGTGTATGTTTGCTTTATTGGAATT